ATTAGAGATTTCAGAAACCCACAATTGTTGGATTATGAAATAGCTGATGGTGATCAGCTATTCTAAAATCCCACACAAATTCCACAAATTAAAAACCTAGGTTTTTAAACCAGTGATTTGTGCCAAAATCCCACAAATTAAAAACCTGGATCCAAATGACCCCTGTATGTTGAAAGATTTTGAGGGAAAATGAAAACCCGGAATTTGGGAGTTTCTCAATCATCGTTGACCTTCAGTGGCAAACTACATGACAAACTGTACCATTTTGTTTTTAGAGACGGTCTGGTCCGTCTTCCTCCGATTTTTTGTGCTTTGGTTTCTTCCAACTTTTGTTTCCTCTCGTGGGTTCAATCCTGTTGATCGATTCTTTGTAATTTTTCTGGACCTCTTTTGTTTCTTCATTTAAATATTTTAATACCATCGCCATTATCAAAAAAATAAAAATAAAACATAACAGTTCAAATTAAAGTCCAAAACTATGCGGATCCATTTAATCTTTTTTTTTTCTTCAACTTTCGTGATCACGAATTCAAGTATTATTGACGATGACTTTCAATTTCTCAGGTACGTACGTAGTGAGGTAGGGGTGGCTATACAGTCCGGTCCGGTTAAATTGGACCAAATTGATTCGGTCCTAGTTCGGTCTTTTCGAGAATATAAGGACCAAAGATTGGATTGGATACATTCCGGTCTTGATTTGGTCCGATCTTGACCCGGTCCGGTCCCAATTTGATCTTGATTTTAGGTTTTGGGGGTCTCTTATCCAGTCTTTATCCGAGTTTTTTTACCTCAAATCTAAGCCCGAATATGAGATTTGATTATTTGCTATCCGGTCCCAGTCCGATCCCGGTCCGGGTTATACAATCCGGTTTCGGGTAAAACCAAACAGTCCGGGACCAAATAGCCAGCGTGACGAATCCATAAGCGGAGAAAGAATGCATGTATGGTTGGCTTAGCTCATCTAAGAAAAAAGACGTTGAGATGGTCCATGCATATTGCATACGTTGCTGCATGTCTCTCTCTGTTTATTCCATATTCACCTATAGCTGCTGCAAATGCAGCTTTAGTTGGTGCGGTTGTGGCCCAGAATTCTCTTATTCCAACTGGTATTGCAATTGTCTACTATTTCGATTCGCGCCCAACCAGAGAGCAAGACATATGGCTACGTCGATATATCGGAATCTTACGTTTTTGCAGTGCAATATCGGTCCCGACGAGGATTTTATACAGAAGAAATGCTCTGCGTCTGCCATGCACTCTCTCGAAACCAAACAAAACAGAAAAAAAGGTATTGCACCTTTATGTGTCCATCGCGATCATGGGGTTTTGGAATTTGGATGCATCAATTAATAGTGGGCAAATTGAAGAGGAAGATCGGTATATATATGTATGGACGTGGAGAAAAGAAGCAGCGAGCTGGAGGAGGAATCACATTATCTAACCTTTTTTACTTGCTTATCAAATCAATCCATAGGGTAAGATGGGGTTTGGAGTTTTGCATAGCGTGAGTGATGATCCGTTGACTAAGGGGGTGCTTAGTCACTTGACTAAGCCCCTCCCAGCCTTTAGATCTGGATATAGCAATCTCATGGCTAAAAAGTGGAAAGAGCTATTTAATTAATGACAGGGGTAGTTTGGGTATTATGGAAAATTACGAAGTATACAAACCGGACTTACAATCAGTACAAACCATACAAACATACGAACAGTACAGACTAGAGCGACAAAACATACAAACAGATTTACAAACATTACAAACATATGAACTGTACAAAAAATACAAACTAGACCAACAAACAATACAAAAAGAAAAAAACAACCAGGTTGACTTTGGAGGCTCCATCCCTATATAGAGGGGCTCCTTCCCAAAGTCAACCCGGGTGTTTTTTAGACATACTAACATTACGAACATGGTGGACAAAAATGACAAACTAGACCGACAATCCATACGAACTGGAAAAAACACCCGGGTTGACTTTGGAGGCTCCATCCCTATATAGAGAAGTTCCATCAAAAAGTCAACCAGGTTGTTTTTTAGACATAAAAAACATTACAAACATGGTGCACAAAAATAACAAAGTTTACAAACATGGTGCACAAAAATAACAAAGTTTACAAACATTAAAAAAAAAAAAAAACCCGACAAACATTACAAAATAACAAAGCATACTAACATTACAAAATATGTCAACAAACATCACAAAATCAGGACTGTCGCCAGGGAATTCTTCTACGGTGACGATGGTCGCTGGAAAAAAATTTCCGACCAGAAAATCTCTCTCTCTCTCTCTGGGGAATGGAATAATGGCGCCCATGAATTCTTTTTTGGGGAATGGAATAATGGCTCCCAGGAAGAAAAATAATGGCGCCCAGGAAGTCAGAGACGGCGCAACGGATGGGGAGGGGAGGCCGGAGACGGTGCAATTAACCGGACGGGGAGGGGAGGCGACGCAAAGGGACGCGGCGCAGACTTATTTTTTATTTTTTTTATAATTAAAAGTTAAAAATAAACATAGAATTACTACATTACCCTTCATTAAATTGGATTAATAGGAGCCCTTGGATTTCAATGAGGTTGAGTGGCTGAGATTCACTTAGCTATGTGACTAAGGGGACCCCCTTAGTCACCTGATCTCAGCCCCGTCGAGTTAGCCTAAGTGTTGTCTGAGCGTGTCTAACAAGTAACAAGCCAGTGCAAACTAAAAATAATAGCCTGTACCGAATGATGAATGAAATAGGAATTCACATAAAATATTTGGCGCTTTTTAAAGATTCAGATAGTGTAATAAAATATTTGAGATCTCTTAGAGTAACTTGGGTATAATTTCAAGTTAGGTAATCTAGACCATTAAAATCAGTTAGAATCAACTTAAGCCATTGATTAAAAAAATTAAAAAAAAAAGAAACAGGGGACACCGGCACTGCCGGTGAATACATTCCCGTTACCTTTTTTTTGGTAGGAATTCCCGTTACCCTTTTATTTCTTACCCTCTTTTTGTTTTTCATTGCACAATTTATTTCCTTTTTACCTTATTGCGCCTCTGCTTGATTTTATCCAATTGCATGTATTTAATTTTTTAATTATATTTTCATAATTTTAATGATAGTTAATACCAAAAATGTTGTGGAAGACTTCAATTAAATACTTATCGTAATGCCTTCACATAACGTAAGGTTAAATATTCATTACGTAAAATAAGTCTCAATTACGTAAGGTTTCAGTAATGACATTTTACAACTGTTACGTAAAAATACACATCCATTACGTAAGACTTCCGTAATGACAGTTGTTTCTTAACGTAACAGTTAAATCAGAAGCGTTACTTAAGACTTCCGTAATGCCTTCACACTTTACATAACGTAAGTTTAGTATTCATTACGTAAAAGAAGTCTCAATTACGAAAGGCTTCCGTAATAACATTTTACAACTGTTACGTAAAATACACATCCATTACGTAAGCCTTCCGTAATGACAGTTGTTTCTTACGTTACGGAAGGCTTCCGTAATACCTTCACACTTTACGTAACGCAAGGTTAATATTCATTACGTAAAAGAAGTCTCAATTACGTAAGGTTTCCATAATGACTTATTACTTTACGTAAAGCAAGATAAATATTCATTACGTAAAAGAAGCCTCCACTACGTAAGGCTTCCGTAATGAGATTTTACAACTGTTATGAAAGATGCACATACGTTACGTAATCATTACGTAACACCTGTTGTGTTTTACGTAATGCAACCTGTGAAACCTGCTATAGCAGGTAAAAAAAATCAAGTTACCTTACTTCAAGGCATTGTAGGAATTTCCTAAAATATTTATATAAGATTCACACACAGACATTTCCAATAACTTGAGTTATTGTGACAAATTGATTTATGCGATTGATATCAGAGTTGGTTTGATCATTATGTCACATCCTAAAGTTCTCACAACCTCTAATATTTAATAGTTCATTCAAGCACATGGTATGTCGAGCTTGTACAAATTTCACACCCATGAGTGGGGTACTTAAGAGAGTGGTGTTAAAATTCATACATGGACCTCTTCCAAGTTCCAACAACTTGAGTTATTGGGACCAATTAGTTTATGACAGAAGATTGAGTTTATAGATGTTGTGAAGTACTCGCATTTGATATTACCTACCTCTGCTTAATTACTCCGTGTCACCTTACTCCATCACCACATCCGAATACCTAGATTGTCACAGAACCTCTAGACGAGACGTTTTGACTTTGTTAAGTCATGTCTAATGACGCCTAAATGTAAGTTCAAACATAACTTTTAGAACCCTTGATTGATACAGATTGTCGATCTCCAATAGTTTTGAATCTCGTAGCAAATGTGAAACCATACGTATAACATGCAAGCAAAAACAATGCCCTAAAGCCACCTCCCTTTCTTCCCACCTCCATCTTTCTTATTTTTTTCCTCACTAAAATATTACTTGCATTAACATTAACATGAACAAATAAATACAATATTCAAGACTCCGAAAACGAGCCAAGCACGAAAGTCAAAACCATTACACGCCATAAGGAACAAATTAAAGAATCTTCTTAGTTAGCTGTTAGATTGTCTATCCTATTGTTCTGCTTGCTAACAAATCGAACCTGCAGTACCCCTGTGTAATAATCAAACAACCGACGAAGCCCCTAATATACGACACCACCTTTGCAAATCGCGCGTAAGAACCCCTTATTTTTAACTTATCGATAACTACCTTTGCATCCCCTTCCAAAGCACGATAGTCTGTAGCCCTCCCCTCTCTCTAATAAAGAGTAACGAGAATCTAGCTTATTCCTTAAACGCCCTAAATGAAACACAAATTCATTGCACCAAATCTTAGCATCACAACAAGCTAAGTCAATCATATAATGCATTTTCCCCACCGGCCGGCCGTACCCCTCGAGAATCATATTATCCTCTTCTCCATCCAACTTTGCTTGAACCTTTTATTCTCTTCTTGGTTAAACGTATTTCCCTTTCCCTATATATACCTCCACTTCCCCCCTCCCCGTTTCCACACAAACCAAATTCAACCCATCCACTGTTCATTCTTCTCAACCCATTGCTCACACGTATTCTATAAGGCCGAAATGGATCGAGTGTTCCAACTGGCGGCGGAGAGGCCGGTGGTGGTGTTCAGCAAGAGCACGTGCTGCATGTGCCACACCATCAAAACCTTGTTCTTCGACTTTGGCGTCAACCCAACGGTCTACGAGCTCGACCAGATCCCCGGTGGCCGGGAGATCGAGCAGGCACTGGCTCGGCACGGTGTTGCCGGTGACTTTCCTGTTGTGTTCATCGGCGGGAACCTTGTTGGTGGTGCCAATGAGATCATGACCCTTCATCTCAACGGTTCTTTGTCTGGCATGCTCAAACGGGCTGGTGCGCTGTGGCTCTGATCGTCATATATCGATGGTGATGAGATGGGTCCAAAATTTTGGCTAACTTTACTATGGAGTCTTTTCTTTTTCTTCTTAACTAGTCATCGTTGATGATATTTATAAAAAAAAAAAACCCTCTGCCTTTTGGCTAAGCGGCAGAGGGAACTAAAATGTATACTTATGTATGTATGTATTGGGATTTCACAAATTAGGCTTTGCGTTACTTTATGAAGTAATGTCTAATGATGAATCGCCCAACTTTTTGTAATATCTCTATATACATCTACCACTGATATATAATAAAGTTTGATGAGAGTTATCTTTTTATATCTTCTTGTGGCTGTCCTTGAATTGTTTGATTGGTCTTTCATGAGATTCAAATAGCTACAACTTGCTAGTTAAGCATAACTCAAATTAAGGTAGTCACAAAATGTATAATTGTTTCAAGGTTGATCACTGCGGTCGAACGTGAAATACCGGACATGGAACCCAAATCGGCATGCTTTCAAACTCGCGAGTTGGCTTTTGTTTGAGGAGACGTGTAATGAAGTGGTTAAGTATCATACTTGGACTTCTCCCAACAACTCGAGTTATTGAGACCAATTGGTTTACGAACCTCCGATGAATTATGAAGACTCAAGTAAATGTATGAACAAGGTGGAGGTTCAATTATGGATCATATAACATATTGAAAAACTTGTTGATGGGAATTTGAGGCTAGAAGCTTAATTTAAGTCCCCATTGAATGGATTCATCACACACAGGTTTCTTGTTTGGGGTTAAGAGACTTGATAATTGTCTTGAGTTTGCGTAGAGCTAAGAAAAAAAAAAAAAGAAGGAGGAGATGATATCTCAGTTATTACCCCATGTAATCTTTGATTCATTGGATTGGAGGTTGATATGATAAATTCAAGTGTTCACTTTTTCAGTGTTTTGAAAATAACAAAAGACAGAGTGATAGATGAGTAACCTAGGAAAACTCCAAGATCAAGCTTGGTTGGACACATGAGGGCTTGCGAGTTATCTAATAATGAGGAAGGACTAGAGGTTATGTGGTCTTTATTTAATTAATTTCAAAAAATTTGTATTTATCAATTCAATCTCGTGATCTCAAATACCGAATAACACTATGAAATCAATGTTGATCTAAAAAATAATTCATTTTTAGGTAATACCAAATAGCGATAAATTTAATAATGTATTCAGTATAACCCAAAATATCAGTTCCAAACTTCCAGCGCTAGCTATACCAAGTGCTTCCAAAAGACCATTGGTTTGTATCACCTGTTCTTGATTTTTTATACATAAATGTAACTAATGTATCCCCCTTCGTAAATGATTTTTCCATAATGTACAGAGCAGAAAGAAGACGAGGACTAACTAACTAATGCGCTTTGTTCATTGGAGAATTAGGACGACCTAAGCTTTGTCAATCAGAGGTTAGTATATATATAGTATATATCATTATCATATATTCCAAATTCGATTTAATACATACTCCAACAAGACTTACAAATTAAATGAGGTGGGGAGAGGTCTAACATTAGATCTCACAATATTATTCTTTAATTTAACATGTGATACATTTGTTGCTGCGCTCATTAGTTAAGTAACCAATTCTACTGCCGCACAAGCTAATTAAGTTGGTGGCAATTATTCAAGTAGCAGAAGAGAGGAAAGTAGAGCGACTGAGCCAGCCTAGTTAGAATGAATGAATTAATCTGGCCCTTGGCCTCCGTTTGGGCTGTTTCACAGTACGTGGCCAAAACTCGATCAGAGCCTGAAAACTACGGCCGAACCTTCCTTTCCTTGGTGATGACGAATAATTATTGTATGTCCACTATTCCTCTACGTATAGTGGGAGAATTGATACGTACTCTCTCTCTCTCTCCCTCTCAGCTGTGAAAGAGAGAATCGAATCGGGGAAAGACAGTGTCCGTGTATTCTTCAGACTAGGCTAAATACATACGTACGTACGTGTATTATAATACTGCATGCATGAGGAATCCCAAAGGAAAAAAAGAAAGCTTGCTTTTATCCTCTACTGCTGCAAAATTCCACGTACGTACGGTCCCTTTAATTAAGCCACGCCTGTGAGCTGGAAAAATAAACTGAAGAAGCTAGCGCGATAGGCTTACTCTTAGCTCATCACGAAACAGACAGTGGATATATATGGTCCATGCATACGTTGCTGCTTTGCATTTTGGCCTCCAGCAGGCCTGCCTACTATTTTGATTCGCGCCCGACCACAGAGAACGTAATACATATGGGTTCGTCGATATATGGGAATCTTATTTTTGCAGTGCAGGATATAGGTCCCGAGAGAGATTGGATCATATCTCGATATATATATCCCTTTCAGAAGAAATATGCTCGGCCATGCAAATGCAATTAATGCAAGCTTTCAGAAGTCAGAACCAAACAAAAAAAAAAAAAAAAAGGTGTCCAACAGGAATTTGGATGTAATGATAGTGGGGCAAATTGACAGAGGAAGTGGAGAAAAGAAGCAGCGAGCAACGGATCGGAGGAGGAACCACATTTATTATTAACCTTTTAACCTAACCTCAAACCAAGGCGTTTTTTTACGTTGCCTAACCCCATGAAAACAGTGCCCTAACGCCACGTCCCACACTTGACGAGATTCCATTCCTAGCCAAATTGCACCAAATCTTTACTGTTTGTTATCACAAGGCAATCGTGTAATTATGCCTTTTTTCCACCGGCCGGCCGTACTCCTCGAGAATCATATTATCCGATCTCCAATCCCACCCAACCCAAATTCTATCCAACTTTTCTTTTATTCTTTAACGTAGCTTTTTTTTCTTCTCTTCATTGGTTAAGCGTATTGCATACTTTCCCTTTCCCTATATATACCTCCACTTCCCCTCCCCCGCTTCCTCACAAACCATTCCCATCCAAATACACATACATTCACTGTTCCATTGCCTACTGTTCATCCTTTTCAGACGTACTCGACAACTCAAACAGAAATGGATCGAGTGTTCCAACTGGCGGCGGAGAGGCCGGTGGTGGTGTTCAGCAAGAGCACGTGCTGCATGTGTCACACCATCAAGACCTTGTTCTTCGACTTTGGTGTTAACCCGACAGTCTACGAGCTCGACCAGATCCCAGGTGGCCGGGAGATCGAGCAGGCACTGGCTCGACACGGTGTTGCCGGTGACTTTCCTGTTGTGTTCATCGGCGGCAACCTTGTCGGCGGTGCCAATGAGATCATGACCCTTCATCTCAACGGTTCCCTGTCTGCCATGCTCAAACGGGCTGGCGCTCTGTGGCTTTGATCGTCATATGACGTGGATCAAATTTTGGCTAACTTTACTATATATGGAGTCTTTTCTTTTTCTTCTTCTTAATTAGTCATCATCATAATGATGATGATGATGATGATGATCACGAATTAGGCTTTGCAGTACTTTATAATGTAATGCCTAATGATGAATCTCACAACTTTTTGTAATATCTCTATCTACAATATCTACTGCTAATATATAATAAAAGTTTGATGAGAGCCTTTTATATCTTCTTGTGGCTGTTCATGAGTTGTTTGATTGGTTTTCATGAGATTCAAATAGCCGCAACTAGCTACTTAAGCATAATTCAAATTGGGTATTAACAAAGTAATTACCTTCATAATTAATAGATATATAATAAAAAAAATACATAGACAACCCCTAATCCATGACATTTTTTGGCTAAGCTTGGGTATCAAAGTGTGCAGACCCTATAATCTCAAATACATAATAATACTCCAAAATCAATCCTAGTAAAACTAATAACTTTATTTTCAGTAATACCAAATAGTGATAGATTTGGTAAAGATATTCGATATTATCCCAAATATTGGTTCCAAAATTCAAGCACTAGCTCTACCAACCAAGAATTGCTATGTAAGCTTTCCAACCTTTAACTAATGTATCCCCTTCATTAATGATTTTTATGTAATATCGACAAAGCAGAGAAAAAAATAAGGGTGGACCAACTCGTCAATCTTTCATAGTTGGTATACTCTTGGAGTATCACTATACTTTATACTCTGTTTCAGAAGGAAGAGAGGAAAATGAAGGGAAAGGAACATTTGGAGGGGAGGGAAAAGGAAGGGAGAGAAAGTTTAGAGTGGAAGGAAAATGTTGTTTTATGGAGAAAAGTGGGAGAGAAAAAATATATGGGAAAGTGTGATAATTATGTAATTGTAAATAATTTAATTATTTTTTGATATTATTTTCATTACTTATGAATAGTGGATAAAACAATTTCATATTTTAATGTCATTTTTATTAGGAATGAACACACTTTTATATCTCACGTAACAATTTTATGTATTGCGTAACCCAAATTTTTAGTGGGTACGGGTAAAATTCGAACTCAAATCAGTTAATAATGTTTATTTAGATAATAAATAGCGCATATTTGGTTTAAGGGGTCCAGTGGGATACGGAGAACCTCACCGTAAGTTCTCATACACCCCGTTTCCCGTTATCTCCGTTGTTTTCCTCCGTAAGCCCTATGTATCTTTCTCTTCATGCGTCGACTGAGTGGCGGCTGCCCAAGCTTTGTCAATCAGAGGTTAGTATATATATAGTATATATCTTTCTCTTCCTGCACTAATCAAGTAGCGGCGAGGCATGTTGATGTTGGGGCGATGTGGGCAGGTGTATTGATAGCAGTTTATGGATCCCTCTCCCAAATCCTTCTCTTTTCTTCAGTTCCCCGGCTCTTCTCCGCTCTACCGACTTACTTCTTAATTATCCAAACAAGAGATCTTTTGAGGAGAATTTCATTTTTTTCATGTCACTTACTCATCTATGCATGAGGCCCGTTTCCTTTTTGCATTTGCATGACTGACACCTGTTACCACCCAAAATGAAAGAAATGCCACATGTAGCCACTGATGGGTTCCTTCTCTTCAAACATACCCAGACATACGTGGCATTAACATTATTCACAATGCCTTTTTAAAGCTTTTCTCTTCATTCTATTTGGAGGTTTTATTGAATTCCCATATACGCTATGATTTCTAGACGATTGTAGGTTGTTATTCCAACTAACAAATAAGGGGTCGCCTATGGCAAAAAACAAATAAAAAAAAAACAAATAAGGGGTCTCACCGGTGTAAGTAATCAAAGAATATTAATCAAGCATGCTACTGTTAACTTAATCATAGTGGTATCCTCATGCCTATTGCCATGGCAAAAGGACCATATTTTCTATAAAACAGAAGTATTTCATTTCGATAAATATAAAAATGCATATAAGAAAACATAGAATTGGATAAAATTAAACAGAACAAGCTTTTTTTTGGGTATGATTCTGACCATTGAAACATATAATATTATTTAATTTCAACTAATAATTAAAATATATTATTATCTAAGCTCTAAAAAAATAATTATAGAATCCTCAGACCTCGAAAATGCCACACTAATATCTCCTTATTCTCCTCTCAATCTTCTAATTAATAAAAAGATACCTCTTCTCAATCTTACTTTATGGAAACTCAGATTGTGTAAGAACATTTTACAAAACAATTATTCCAATTGATTATTTGACCATTTTTTCAATCGCCATCACAATTAATCGCATTATTATGTTGATTTATCAAAGTTCTATCCAATGACAATTAATTTAATGATAGAAGGTTTATCACGTAATGAATAGTGAACTAAAAACAAAGGAAACGCATTCAAGTGCACCACATATATAAATATAATTTATTGATTGATGGCTAATGTTGATTACGAGTAGTAGCAACATTGTAGTTTAGCAGAAGAATGAATTTGAAAAAGTCGTCTAAAAGTACACAAAATACGATGTAAGAGTCAAATTATAATTATATATGAGGTTAAACATGGAGTATTGGTCATGCTCGGTAAGTATGATTTTATCTTCAATTACTCTTGCTATCATCTTAATTAGAAATATGTACCGCCCATTCTATTCATTGATGCTAATATAATTTTTAATTCAGTCTTACTACTTTCATAATTAGAATATTGGTGTGCATAGCTCTATGGAGTGTGATACTACTTTCATTGTACTATGAATTAATAAAAATTCGAATAAGGATACATTCAACGCATTATGAATAAGGATTAGCGAAACATTCACTACTTTAATGTAGTAAACAAAATGTGTTTCGACTTACATCATGATATCCATTGTAATGTGTCTTTAAGTAAAAATATGTGCATGCAGAGACATGAAAGGATACCGCCGCGGAGCGCGGGCCATCTATCTAGTTTACAATAATAGGTGAATAATTAAATCAATCAAGTTTGTTTTGGGAAGAAGTGTCGTAAAAATAAAAAGTGTGAAAGAGTGGTTTGTTAAATTAATAAACAAGAGGGGAAAAAGTTCAATTGGTGTTCCTCTCTTTTCTTTCCAAATTGGGGTGTAGGCTTCTACAGTAAAAAGGGGGACACATTTTCCCTCACCTCCCTCTCTTTTATTTTAAAAAACAGGGTGAAGTGCCTTGAAATTGTGTTTTCCTACACACTTTTCCCTCCCCTTCTTTTGTCTTGTAAATGAACAGAGTGTAAGTGATATTGGATTTACTTTGGCGAATCAGATCATTGATTCTTATGTATGAAATTGATTTTTGAGTTGGGTTTAGAGAATCAGAATTCTTGGATTTTTTCCATTAAAAGTTAGAATATAATATTTTTTACCTTCAAACTCAATTTAATTTGTCTAGCTAAATAGATATATTCCACTAGAAATTAAATATCATTGGTATCTTACCTCAAACTCGATTTAATTGGTCATCTCGATGGAGATATCCCACACACGGACCAGTATCATATACAATCACCCCGAGACTTAGAGATACGGTGATGAGAGATGTAACGTAAGATCATATATAATATTATTCATGAATTTTAACATGTGATACATTCTAATGACTCTAACCAAAAAAAAAAAAAAAACGTTCTCCTGCCTAGCTAGAGTGAAATAATCTGGCCCTTGGCCTCCGGTTGGGGCTGTTTCATAGTACGTTGCCAAATCTCAGAGCCTGAAAGGAGCTACGGCCGAACCTTCGTGATGACGAACTACGTATGTCGACTATTCCTCTCTACGTATAGTGGGAGATCGAATTGATACGTACCCTCCCTCTCTCTCTCTCTCTCTCCCTCTCTCTCTCTCTCTCTCTCTCTCTCTCTCTCTCTCTCTCTCTCTCTCTCTCTCTCTCTCTCTCTCTCTCTCTGTGAAAGAGGGAATCGAATCGGGGAAAGAAACAAGAGGACCAGTGGTGGGGCAAATTGACAGAGGAAGATCATATGCGCATGTATGGAAGTGGAGAAAAGAAGCAGCGAGCGAGCGACGGTGGGAGGAGGAATCACATTTATTTAACATTTTTACATACACACACTAGCATAAGACCAGTGTTGCGCACTTTTCTAGCGCCTAAGTCATCTAAACGTGCTTACACGCGCGGTGCACGCAAAAATAGCAGCTTGTAGTAAATGATTAATGCAGTAGCAATTTACAGCACTTATTTACTACTTTAGGTCAATTAAGTAAGAACTTATGCAACATGTAATAACAAGGAAAATAACTTACAAATTCGTAAGATTATGGTTCAATAGCTCACATCTATAATTGTTGAGCTATTGACAAGGTTGAGAGAGGGTAAGAAAGTGGTTAAGATCCATACGTAGACATCTATCTACCAATAACTCGAGTTAATATGACAAGTTGGTTTAGGACATAGTATTAGCTTATCGGAGTTGGCTTGATCATGAAGTCATTTGTTCAAGTTCTCACGACCTCTAATATCACTACGGGAAAAATGTCATCTTGCAACCCCCAGAAATGTGTTGCGCTAAGTCTTAAAAGAGTTGCAAGATCATAACGCAACACTTTTGGTAGGGTTGCATATAGTGGGGGTTGCAAAAGGAATAGGCAACTATTTTTCCATTTTTTGCAACTAAAATAATAAGGGTTGCATATTCTTACATCTTACGCAACACCATTTAAGGCAACACATTTAAAAAATTTGCAACACATTTTAGAAACATAGACAACATTTTCTACAAGTTTTTGCAACACTTAAATTTTATTTCATGACGAGTCTAGGTTGTCACGAATGACAAACCCAATTGTGACAATTTTATTTGTAACAAATACTAATACTTGGGTGTCAATGTAATTGTCAATAAAGATCGTTTTTGTGACGAATTAGTACCGCCATGACAATGCAACAGTGACATGTCTAATTGTCACAAATAACTGTCACGCGTGACCATAGTTTTGTCACAGATACACTTTTCTAAATTGAAGGTATGATCCAGCTGGCATATTGATTGTCACTAAATTGATTGTTTGTGACGAATTCTATTGTCATGTAGGCTACAAGTTGTGTGACGAATTTGGATCGTCACTCATAATATACTTTTGTGACTATATAATTGTCTCAATATGATCATTTTTGTGATAAATTTTTATCACAAAACGACATCATATATGACAAGATGACATATCACAAATTGCAATTTTGTGTCCAACTTTTCAT